CCGGTGCTTTGGCGCATCGTCCTGAAGTAACGAAACGCCGGCCGGGCAGATGATACTCTGACTTGCTTGGCCCGCACTTTACTTGCCTCCTCGGGAGTGTAAGTAGCGTCTTCAGGCGTACCGTCCATTTCGGTCTGTACAGCTTCGAGTGTAGCCATTGCCTGGGCAACAAGAATGCCTCCAACCGTCGAATTTAGACAAGACGGGCAGAAGACTTCACATGTAGCCTCTCTCGTTCGTAGACACAAATACTCCGTACCCTTTACCCCGCCAGTTGAAGTCAAGCGGAGACGTACGCTCCGATCGAAGCCAAGCGGATGCAACAATTGCCCATCTTCATGTTGTGGGCTTCAGAACATTTTGAGTCTTCTGCCGACCGGTGCTGAATGGCAATTTTTGCTTTTGGTTGCTTTGACCTCCGCGAAGACGGCATCACGCTGGACATGTCCACAAAGCTCGGGTGTCTTTAGCACAGACACACACACACGTACACGTTTTTTGCTATTTCATAGTATCGATTTTAAACGTATAGACAACTAAATCCCCATGCCAACAGGCGTGGGCAGAATTGGAACTCTCCGCTCGGCACTTACGCAGAACCGGGCTACATTTCGCATTGGAGCAATTATTCACTTCGTGCCTACTCTCAAAATGTAACGAATGCCCCGAGAGCCTCTGGGGGATTTGAGCCAATTTGGCCCCGACGCCAGCTTTGTCCTGAAGCATTTAGTGCTTCGTCAAGAGGATGCCCTGCCGATTGACGACGTTACTTATGATTGATATAAGTCGTTTTTGAGACTAGCCACAATTCATGAACAAGGGTATCCTTCTAGGGAGTGTGAGTTGTGTGAGACTGGCATGCCGTGACTATCGAATATTCCCTTTTGTCTATATGGCACCCGCAGCTGCGTAGTCGAGTGAAGTGAAAAAATCGTCCAGATTATCACGATCGGTACCGAATCTCGATGGGAACGGTTCAGGAGAGGTGGAAACTGCAATTTTCCCGGAAAAAGAAGGTCTTTTGGGAGTCGACCAATTGAAATCCAATGGCCTACATATTTGGTTGTCGAAAAGCTAAAAATATATCAGGCATTATATCGCCTCAATTGACCCAGGCTAACTAAGCTCTTGATCCCGAATCTTCTTTGAATGGCCGGATCCAAGGAAATGAGAAGAGGATATCGCGTGCAGCCAATGCAAAACATCCTCTTGACGAAGCACTAAATGCTTCAGGACAAAGCTGGCGTCGGGGCCAAATTGGCTCAAATCCCCCAGAGGCTCTCGGGGCATTCGTTACATTTTGAGAGTAGGCACGAAGTGAATAATTGCTCCGATGCGAAATGTAGCCCGGTTCTGCATAAGTGCCGAGTGGAGAGTTCCAATTCTGCCCACGCCTGTTGGCATGGGGATTTAGTTGCCTATACGTTTAAAATCGATACTATGAAATAGCAAAAAACGTGTACGTGTGTGTGTGTCTGTGCTAAAGACACCCGAGCTTTGTGGACATGTCCAGCGTGATGCCGTCTTCGCGGAGGTCAAAGCAACCAAAAGCAAAAATTGCCATTCAGCACCGGTCGGCAGAAGACTCAAAATGTTCTGAAGCCCACAACATGAAGATGGGCAATTGTTGCATCCGCTTGGCTTCGATCGGAGGGTACGTCTCCGCTTGACTTCAACTGGCGGGGTGGTGGGTACGGAGTATTTGTGTCTACGAACGAGAGAGGCTACATGTGAAGTCTTCTGCCCGTCTTGTCTAAATTCGACGGTTGGAGGCATTCTTGTTGCCCAGGCAATGGCTACACTCGAAGCTGTACACACCGAAATGGACGGTACGCCTGAAGACGCTACTTACACTGCCGAGGAGGCAAGTAAAGTGCGGACCAAGCAAGTCAGAGTATCATCTGCCCGGCCGGCGTTTCGTTACTTCAGGACGATGCGCCAAAGCACCGG